GCCCAGCACAGACAACTGAGTCTGTGCTTACCGGGGGCAACGTTCTGAGCCCCGGTCTGCTGCTGAACAGGGTTCCTGCAGAGAGAGAGAGAGAGAGAGAGAGAGAGAGAGAGAGACAGACAGAGAGACAGACAGACAGACAGACAGACAGACAGACAGAGGTCAACATTTGAATTGCAGAGAAAAGCTTAAGTCGAGTGATTGAATGCATATGGCTGGCGACTCAGTCTACGTGCAGTGCACCTACAGTGTGTGTGTGCTAGCTATCCGCGAATGGACTCAGCACCACATGCAAACGTCGGGAAGACATGGGCCACCAGGTAATGAACGAGGACGGTTTTTGGGCCCCATGCAGACAACCACACCATGGTTTTTCTCCTTCTACAGTGTGTAATGCCTACAACAGGGGACTCCGTCATCCCGTGCAAAACGGATTCGCGAAAGGGTCTGACATCGACAATGACGACAACAGTGGGAAAAAAAACAACATTAGCAATAAAAAGGAAACTTGTCTCATTGAGCTAGCTGAGACGAAAAAACGAGACAGCTAGCTCAACGAAAAAGCAGAAGGGGCTGCAACCTAGGACAGCGGTTCAGAGGAGGGCTGCGTGAAATATGCGCTAACGTAGCGGCGATAGCGGCGGTGGCGGCGCCCGGTCATCGGCAGCAGCAGAGTAGGATGAAACGTCGGGGTATGTGGACGCTGATCTTTCACGAGGCGCCTACCCTGCCAGGCACCATAGTTGTGTGAGAGCTATGGCGACAGTGCCCTGGCGTAGCTACCCCTTGAGTGGGCAGGGAGTGCCTTGCACTCTTACGCCATGGCATCCTGGCAGCTCCACACTCTACATCTGGCCTCTATACCTAACAGGATCTAGACACCAGAGGAGCCGTCCTCCCCTCAAGCCTTTGCTGGAAAGGGGGGGCTCCTTTTTCACCATCCAAAGGCCGTGCTCTGTATATTCATGACACGCCACCTCGACTGCCTCGGTCATTACAAGGAAAGCATGGAAGGCGGAGCGGCGCATCTGGACGAAGTGCGAGAGCGTGCGGCTGCGGTGGCAGCGCTTCGGCATGTCCAAGGACTACAGCAGGTCTCGGTTGACCTATCTACGTCGCAAGGCAGTTTGATGTTCATTTATTTCATGCTTTGTTTTTTATTTACTTAAATTGGTCGTTGCTTTCGTCCTCTACCGTCTGCTTAGTTTTCCATTCCCGGTTCATGGTATAGTTTGAAGGCCTTTGTATAGAGTTCTTATGATGATTGAGATATCTGTAGGAAACATCTGTACAACGCTGTTCCCTCGTGTGATTGACGCCCGTAGTCAGTCAGTTCGCGCCGAGGTAGGACTTGGGATTTGTGCTTGATGTTGCAATTTTCAGAAGTATATGTTCATCCACAGACTCTCGATGCTCTTAAGCGCTGGTTAGGTTCGTGGTTCTTATGGCTTGTACCTAGGATAGATTCATTGTAACCTGTCTATCTGTCGCTCAAAGATTTATGTATTAGGCATACGTATCAGGCACTTGGTTCCTGTATTTCGATATGGTTTTCATGGAGGATGGACTCTAGGTGATGTTTTTTATTCTGTTATTCAGAGTTGGTTCCTTCTTGTAGTGTTTTCTATTAGTTTATTAAAGTGGGGTTTCAATTGATGCTCATTTAATTTCCTAGCTTTTTCACTAACTGTTTGAGTAAATACCACAGGGTGGCACGCTCGGCGTCTCAGGCAATACTAGTAGCGGTGCTACCGATAATAGTGACAGTGATGCAGGGACGAGACCTCTACTGGGTACGACAAGCCCTGAAGTCCTATGGGAGGTGGCGCCATCAGCGGGAGTGGGAGACTCACTAGTGGCGGTGGGAACATTTCCCGGGCGCAAAGGGTTAAACATTTCCAGCCATAACCGCGTCTAGAGACACAGTGACGTTCACCTTCTAGAGTGGCTGACCTCCAAGAGCAGGACCAGTGACACAGGGTCACCCATGCCTTGAGTGGCGTGGGGAGTGTCTTCCGCTCGACTGTGTCCCATCTGGAAAATCGGGCTCACATCTTCCCCACTCGTATAATCTGTGGGCGCGGTTATCCATTTGTCCCTCCCCATTTTCCAGCCCTAACCCCGTTTAGAGACAATGATGTTCACTCTTCAAGAGTGGTTGAACTCCAAGAGCAGGTTCAGGGACACAGGGTCACCCATGCCTTGAGTGATGTGGGGAGCGTCTTCCGCTCGACTTTGTGCCATCTCGAAAACCCGGCTCATATCTTCCCCACTCGTATATTCTGTGGGCGCGGTTATCCATCTCTCCCTCCCTTTGAATTCCCTTGGATTCTCTATATGTGGCCGTTCTCTGGGCTGTTTTCAATCATCTGTTCTTTGTAGACAATATTAATACGCCCAGTTTCAACTCGGTTAAGATTAGTTTAGTATGCACTTGGACTGAACTTTAGAATTGTTCTGTATCTAAGAATTTAGCATGCTCTTGGAAACAATTTTAGTGAATTGCCTTGTGAGATTTGCGGTTTATAGCTCATAATTCTTTGCCATTAGTGTTTCCATTTTAGAAACATGGCCGTGTTTTCCTGAGTAGCAAGGATATTGTACTGCCATAGATTTGCTTTGCATTTTTCTTTTTGGAGATTCCTTCAAGGGACACTGGACCCGGTTTCCAGGAGCCTAAGCTAAGTATGGGCTCAGCAAGTTTGTACCGGGTTGATATGTATATGTAGGGGTATGTTCCCAGGCCCCGGTGGTCTCATTTGGAATGAAAAGCGCTATGTTTCTCCCCCCCCCCCAAAAAAAAAGCAGAAGGGTAGGGGGCGTTGTAAACAAGTGTTCAATGTTTTTCAGAGCTATTATGATCAAATAAAAATTGGTTTCCGACAGAACAAATTGAAGGTGAAAATCAACCGCGCGATTTCAAGAACTCCTCGAATAGCCAGCATCGCGGCAGGTCACATGTCTTTGAAAACTCGACGAGGACCTCCCTCAATGCTGCTAGTGGGACAAGGTCCCAGGGGCTGAGTCCCACATGCACCGTTGAACTAGCTCAACGCGACGGTGTGACACGGTTTTTGCGACGTAGGGTCTCGTTAGACACTCCTAAAAGTGCCAGTTTTTAGGATTGCGTCTTCGTTGCACACAGTCCTAAAACGAAATCGGAGATCGAAAATGTGAAAATGGCGTTAGGACGAGTCCTAAAATATTTAGGATTCCCCAGGCAAAATCGTCCAAAATTTTTCAGTAGCCCCCGACCTACTGAAAAATTTAGGATTCCCGCGTTTCACGCACTCGTCGCGTCGCGTGCATGGCACCGTCCACACGGGGTTGCTGGTCCAGGAGCGGTCCGTCGGAGGTTTTGCGCGGGTCGACAGCGGCAACGGCCGGGAATGGTAGCCGTTGGCCGACGGGGTGGAGCGCGGAGGGCCGAGCGTGGGCGGGTGGGCGGCCGTAGTGGATCGTTGGGTCGCTTGCAAGATGCGGAGTGGGACGTCGACGTGCGCAGGACGACAGACGGAGTTGCTTCGGGCAGCGCGGGCGGCAACGGTCGATTTTCAAAAGGAAGGAAGGCATGTTTCTCGTCTTCTGTGTTGGTTGTCGGCATATGAAGGTCGAGCGCCCCTGTCCCAAGCATGTCGGAACACACATCTGCAGTGGTCACGTGCGAGGGCCGCTGCAGAGGTGAATTTCATGGCTGACGTGCAGAGGAGATGTCCTCTGCTGGTACTCGCCGTCGTCGTCTTCCTGATTGTCGTCTTCCTCCACGTGTGTTTGTCGTGGCGGTCGTGGAAACAACAACTCAAGAGGAGGGCTTCGACGAGRCGGGCGGCAGGGGAACGTCTAATGGCGGGCATGCAGGCACGAGCGGCAACTGCTGCAGGTCAGGGAGGAGTTCGAACTTCGGCGGCGGAGCCTCCAAGGCGGTACGACCCGTCCATGTACACCCATCTGGAGTCATGGGAGACGCCATTGCCCCCGTCGGACGAGGAGCCGGAGAAGGAAGAACTTTCAACGTTGCCTCTCGCCAGCGGCTCAACTCAGTTGTGGTCGCAGACGGTGCGAGCAGGCGGGTCGGCTGCCGACGAAGGGGGTGAGTTCACGTCACTACTGCATCAAGGCTTGCGGGACGACGACGGCGGAGGAGTTGATCTGAGGTTCGGGTTGTGTTCTGGCGGCGGCAGGGAGGCGAGCCGTACATTCATCATCGACGGAGATCGTCCGGCACGTGGCCTTGAACATGGTGGAAGTCTGCATACGGAGCAGTCCACACTTCATCGCGCTGCACCCGTGACTGGCGCAGTCGGGCCATCGCCAGCGGGATGGCAGCATGGATCGACTGCTCCGTCCGTCGAGCGATTGACACCGACCTGGCCTGCACGCACTGGGGTCGCGGCAGGGTCCCTGCGCATGGGCGGTGCACGTTCGTCGATGCCTGCGTGCACAACGCCGATCGAATCCGAAGCGAGGGACGAGGGAACGTGCAGAGCGTCGGTACGTCCACGACCCACTGTGGAGAACATAATACGTGGAGTGTCCAACATGCGGGCGCACAGCGATGCCCGCCAAGACGATGGTGGATTCGGTGACGATGCAGACGAAGGGATGAGGGAGGACGTGGAAGCGGGGGACGACGACGACGATGTTCCTATTCGGCCTTTGGGGAAGACGGGTAGGAGGGGGAAAGGATGCGGCAGAGGTGGTGTCCGTGGTCGATCCGTTGCCCGTGGAAGCAAAGGTGGCGTGAGCGACGACGTCGGGAAGTCTCCGACGTACTGGTCTGCAGAAGATCAAATGCTCCTGGTGCGATGCAAGCGGGAGCAAGATATGCACCTCGCCGGCTTGTATCACAATTACGGGCGGATGAAGACGAAAGAGTGGAAGTGGGACGACGTGTCAAAGCGGATGGCGAATGCGGGGAGGCCGAAGGACGCTGACGACTGCATGAAGAAGTGGGACAATCTGTTCCTGAACTACAAGAAAATTCAGAGGTTTCAGAATGCCAGCGGCCAGGCAGATTTTTTCAGGCTGACGAACGAAGAGAGGAAGGAGCACAACTTCAAGCTCCGGATGGACAGGGCGCTGTACAACGAGATCCACGCAGGCATAGTGGGGAACCACACGATTTTCCCTCCCAACGTTGCTGACACCGGCAGTCCGAAGAGGGTGCAGCTGCCCAGGCGAGGAGCGGGTGGCGGGGAGTCTGTTTGTAGTGAGGCGGCAGGTGAAGGATGCCCTGAAGAATGTTCTTCTGCGAGGGAGTCCGACAACAATGCAGGCAGCGGGGCGGGAGGCGGGAAGCGGAAGAACGCGCGTCAGCAGGCATTGGAGTCCCCTGGCTCCCCAACGAGTCACCATTCCTCAAAATCCTGGCTTCCAAGACCGCAGCCAACTTTGGTCGTGTTTGTGAAAGTAAGGTGCTTTCAGGAGATGAAGGAAAAGTGCAGCTTTCGACCGAAATCCTGCGCCACACTGCAGGATGCGGCACCTGCATAAAGCAAGAGAACATAGACAACAGCTGAACCAGTGAATCCCAGAAAACTGCATCGACTCTCTCCTCCAACCTTGCACCTCCTGACTGTAGTAGTCGTAGTCTCTCCTTCAACCTGCACCTCCAGACAAGGTCCAGGACCTCTCTCTCTCTCTCTCTCTCTCTCTCTCTCTCTCTCTCTCCCCTCCAACCTTGCACCTCCTGACTGTAGTAGTTGTAGTCTCTCCTTCAACCTGCAACTCCAGACAAGGTCCAAGACCTCTCTCTCTCTCTCTCTCTCTCTCTCTCTCTCTCTCTCACACACACACACACACACACACACACACACACACACACACACAACAGAAAAACAAAAAAAAAGGGAAGCCTGTGTCTCCTGATTACACATCAGATGATGACATCGTCCCCAAGGTGGAACGAAGTTACAGAAGGAGGGATCCCTCTCATTCTCCACATGGGAAGCCTCAGAATCGCTGCTACAACAGACAGGTGGGACTCGTATCAATCACTTGGTCAGAGAGAGAGAGAGCTTGAAGAAGGCAACAGTGCGTCAGAAATCCGCTCAACAGGTTTCACCACACACTTTGTGGTCGTTATGGAAGCTCACCGATTCAGATCCACCGAGCGGAAGCGGACAGCGTCAAGGCAGGATCGCCGCCGCCTGCCTCGCCTGCCGCCTCCCTCGCCTGCAGGTAAATGTCTGTCAGAGCTGGTGAGACGACACATCTGATACAGCAACTGTGATGTAAACACCCAGACCAGGGTCTTTCTCATCTACCTGTTTCCTTCTTTCTCCAGATTATGCTCCTGGGATCGGCGGAGGTAAGGCTAGGCAGCCCGCAATGCCAGGATGCACCTCTACTTCTGTTGCCCTATAGATGCACCTCTTGTCTACAGGTAGAACAGATTGACGTTCAAACTCAGAGGGGTCTGGGGGGGTCTTAGTATGACTCCCCGGCACTCAATTTAGACAGGCCCTCTACTTCCGTGCGTTGGTGCGCGCGGAAACGTACCACAGACATGAGTGTGTTCTGCGATGTGTGTCCCCACCACTGCCTGGAAGACTCCCAGGCCCTCTGGTGGGAATGCCTCGTCGCTGGCGGTCTCTGGGCCGGACCTTTGCCGCTATGTCGGTCCGAAGGGCCTGTCTAAATTGAGTGCCGGGGAGCCATGCTAAGACCCCCCCTTTGAACGTCAATCCGTTCCGCCTATAGACAAATTTTTAACCCTCCCTGTCACAGTTTCACCAATCGAGGGGTGAAACTGTGACAGGGAGGGTTAAAAATTTGTCTATAGGCGGAACGGATTGACGTTCAAAGGGGGGGTCTTAGCATGGCTCCCCGGCACTCAATTTAGACGGGCCCTTCGGACCGACATAGCGGCAAAGCGGATGTGCAATACAAAACAAGTCCGGACACTCAAAGGAGGCTAGCTAAGGTTGAAGCTGATGTCTCGGCACGGAAGTCCTGCACTTCGGGCCTCACTGAAGAGCACAGGGCCGCCACAGGTTACTTTTCTTTTTTTCACTTTTTTTTTTTTTTTTTAACAACCGGCAATGTCAGGTAGGAGCGATGGTACGAGCATGCACTCCTACCTGACTTGCCGGGTGCTCCAATCTATTGGTGGGGAGCTGTGCCTGCTGGAAAACGGGTCCAGCGTCCCTTGGAGTACAGTTAAAGGATAACAGTACAGCACTTGCTGGGAACCGGGCCCAGCATTCCACCTTAAGTTCTATATGGGACTGAGTCTCCCGCCTCTTCGAGCAATTCCCACATTTTTTGTGTCACCCTTTTGTGTCACCCTTTTGTGTCACCCCCTTCTGGCAATTCCCACTTTTCCCAGCCAGAAAAGTGGTCACGTTTTCAAAGTGTTAATCTGGCAGCCTTATGGTTGGGAGGGCTCGACTCTGCACTGCTTCCTCTCATTTTAGCCAAAGCTGGGTAGCGGTTCCAGTATTTCATACGCTCTCTCCCCTACGCCTGTATTGAACGTGGGAGGCACCACCCAGTTTCAAGCAGCTGTTGCTTCACACCACCGAGGTCGGAGCCTCTGATAACCACCCTGCAGGCCTCTACAACCGGGAGCCTTCCACCCAGGCAGTAGGCGGAAGGCATGAGGCAGAATTGAGAGAGAGAGAGAGAGAGAGAGAGAACTTGGGCTCATGCACACACGCACAGAGAGAGAGAGAGAGAGAGAGAGAGAGAGAGAGAGAGAGAGAGAGAGAGAGAGAGAGAGAGAGAGAGAGCTGCTTGGTGCATCAGAAACACAGTTCACTGTACGCAGACGATGTGGCTGACCGGTAGACATGAAACTATCTACAAACCGGTCAAGAGTTCAAATCCCACACGAATGACATCAGTATAAAAACAATACTATACAATCATACACTGTACAAGAAGAAAAAAGAAAAAAACGCACACACACACACACACACACACACACACACACACACACACACACACACACACGCAGGCACAATGATCGGATTCAACTACCATAATATCATAGGGTGTTTATAACCATTAATAATAATAAAAAAAGAGAGAAAGAACAAGAAGAAGACAAAGAAGATTCATTGTTATTCCCAGTATCATTGAAATGCCAGTCCCTCAACCAAAAAAAAATCCGCATGGCTTTTTCTCAATGTGGATTTTCGCCCCACACACACAAAAAAAAATCCAAGCCATGCATGGCGGACGACTTGCCTGGCTCCAACAGCATTTTTCCGATGGTACACTCAGAACAAACGAATGTGATCAGAAAAGTGATGCACTTCACACAAACCCAAAACAAATAATAACTAAATAATAATAATAATAAACACGATGTACTGATCCTCGAGTGTCGTGGAGACCCTTTAGTGCTCCCCTAACCAGGAATAGCAAGAGAGATGGCACATAGGGGATGTTCACTCATACACAGCAGCCTTGCGACTGAAGGCCTCCCTCCACTTCTCTCACCAAATTTGCAAAAAGGGATTTAATCTTCCCCTAGAACATGGAAAGATACATCGCCATATTTTCGTCGGTCATGCACGTGGTAAGTAGTTGGGCGAGGCCCGAAGCGTCCCTTCACCAACCAACCAAATTCGACAAGGAAACGATGGGAAAGAGATGAACTTTTGGAGCCGCAAGGTCCCCCCCACTTCCCTCTATTCTTGGTTTCTGACAAGATATAGAGTCCTAAGCAATTCAGATGTCTCCTCTGGGGCGTAGTCCCACTAGCAAAGGGGATAGGATAGAAAGCCTGAATCTGCCTATGTTTTATGCAGAGATACGGAAAGCAGTTCTATCTCGATTTCCTGCTCCTGTCCTCAAACACGTCCAGATTCAGGCATTCAATCCTATGCTCTTTGCTAATGGGACCACGGCCCTGGACTGCTGATATCTTCCACCACTCAGGCTGGTAGATAGAAAACCAAGCGAAAACAGATTAACATTCATAAATAAATACAGAATATATATATATATCGTCAAATAGAACTGCCTACGGTAAACCGTAGGCAGAGAGAGAGAAGAGGACAACAAACGAGGGGCTGTGACAAACTGTTTCGTCGGAGTTTCATATAGATATAGCCTCCTGATGAGTCGGTGAAACTCCGACGAAACAGTTTGGCACAGCCCCTCATTTGTTGTCCTCTTCTCTCTCTCTGCCTACGGTTTACCGGGCAGTTCTATTTGTGACGATATATATATATATATATTGGGCAGTTCTGTTTGTGACGATATATATATATATATATATACGCATTACATACCAAATACGGCAACAGTACATGGAATCTCCTGTTATGTGGGCCTCGGATCCTACATGCCCCCAAGGAAAATGAAAAAAAGGGGAACGAGAGTGCAAGTGCGAGTAGAGTACATAGAATCTCTGTGTGTTTGTGCTTACTAAAAGCGTCAACGCAAAATGGCCACTCCCTAAAAAAAAAAAAAAAAAAAAAGGATCGTTTACCAAAAGTGTGCAGGAATGCAAAATGCCAACTTCCTATTTGGCAGAGATGTTGAAAAATGTTATCACAGAGCATAACCACACACCAACTAGTGGCCACTACCGTAGAAAGATAGATTCCCCTACCACACACGACACCTCTCTCTCTCTCTCTCTCTCTCTCTCTCTCTCTCTCTCCCCACTATTCCCACTTCCTACCCCCATCTAGAATCACCAAATGGTTCAACACCACCTCTCTCTCTCTCTCTCTCTCCCCACTATTCCCACTTCCTACCCCCATCTAGAATCACCAAATGGTTCAAGACC